TATTCATGATTCAAGGACTTTCTTTTCCCCTTAGAGACAAGAGTTTTGCAATTCGGGAGTCTTTTAGATAGGCCTACTGAAGGGGTACTACAATTGCCTCACCCTACGTCCCTGTTCAGCATGGAAGAAGCCAGAGCAGTCTGTGTCCCTATTCCCTATTGGCAATTGGGTAACCCCTTCAGAGGATGGCATGATAAGAATAGGAGATAAGAATTGGCTAGGCAGTTAGGGTAAAAACACTCCAAAGAAATGTAGCCATTTTCTGGGCTAAAAGTCAAAATGTCCTTGGGCCTGTTAGCAACACACTCTGTTCCAAAGGCCGAAAATGTCAAAATGTCAGAAGTATTTGGGATCTTGTATCTAATCCTTAAAAGATTTTAGGGTTACCTCTTCAAAGGGGGGAATGTTGGAGGGGAGGGAGTGGGCATGGATTTGATCAAAACACCTTATATGCATGTATGAAATTCTCAATAAAGTTTTTGTAAAAGTTAAAAAAAAAAAGAGAGAGCGAGAGGTGCTTAGGAAAAGGACAATACATACCTACCTGTGGGTGTGGGCCCCTCAAGACAGTGTCAAGCTTAGTTGTCTTTATAAAAGTCATGTATAGAATTTGAGTTGTTTCTGAAGTTACATATTTAAAGGATTTCTAAATTTTTTCCTTTAAAATAGATCATAAGGTAATTCCATAGGTCACAAGTCGAAGGGATTCTTAGTGTTCTAGGTCACAGTGAGTTAAGACATTAATGTATTTTGAATAAAATACATTAATTCATAATTTTATTTATGAGACTTTTTCTGAAATGTATAGGTTTACAGCTAGGAAAGAAGTAAGGTTAAACTCAAAGGTCATATGCACTTAGGCCTTAAGCATGACTCACTTCTATTTCAATATTTCTTAAAAATATGATTATAGAAAAGGAATGCTGTCTCTATATAGCCAACCCCCACAGCAAATTTTGTTTGTTGTGTTAGAAATCTTGACTCAGCTGACAAGAAACTTCAACCAGATTCCAGGGTGGGGGGCATCTTTCACCTCCCACACCCCCCTAATTTTTCTTGTCTGTCTACTGTGTCTCATTGCTTACTATGGCTCCCTTTTACTTCTAGATACAAGAAAACACATGAGACCCTCAGCCACGCAGGGCAGAAGGCAACTGCAGCTTTCAGTAATGTGGGCACGGCCATCAGCAAGAAGTTTGGAGATATGAGGTACGTGGAAATGGGCCACAGGAACTCTGCCAAAGAGCAATGACTATTGGCAGGTGTCTCTTTTTTTAATGGGTAAAAATGACATCGGTGACAGAGATAAAATTTCTTGCTGGTATATTTTCCATTGGAAGGTCAGCTTAGGGGGCCTTCTCCCTTTCTGGTAGTTAAATCAGAAATCAGAGGGCAATGAGGAGGAATTTCAAAAAAGAACAGCACATAAAGAATCTTCCAAGTTGTATTAGCTACTCTTCTTGCTGTGACAGAAGCAACCTAAGGCCGAGTATTTTGTTTCCCAGTTTGAGGGCACATCCATCATGGCAGAGAAGTTACGCCAGCAGAAGTTTGAGGCAGCTGGACTCACTGTGTCCACAGTCAGGAAGCAGAGAGTTGAATGCGAGTACTCAGCTCACATTCTGAGTACTTTCTCAGCCCTGCACCTCCAACCCATTGGACTTTTTCTTTGCCCTGGACCTCCAGCCCATAGGAGAGAACCACCTACTAAAGGATTTAGGGTGGGTCTTCCTTCCTCTGTTAAGCCTGTCTGGAAACAGCCTTATAGACATACCCAGAGATGTGCTTTCATAGTGATTCAAAATCTACAGAGGTTGACAATGATAATTAATCATCACATGACTTACTCTAAGTGTAAGTTGAAGTATTATTCACTGGAACATTTTTTTATACAGCCATCTAGTATAATCTTACTTTTAAAATGATACTAGTCTATACTTCTGGTAGTTTTTTTTCTTTACCAATATATTGTGAATACATTAATAATTTTAACACCTTCATTTTTAATAACCTGATTGTCATCAAAATATATAGCAATAGCAAAACTTTTTAATAAGTACCTTCCACATTATAGTTATTATCACTATTTTACATAGAACTGGGTAGACACAAAGCTAGATTGTGAGCTAAGAACTTGCCCTTACTCAAAACAATGCTGTACTATTTTTATCTTTCAGCTTATTAGAAAACTATCTTATGTAGTTGTTACTATCATAAGTTTTATTACTTAAGTACTTATTAATTTATTTTGAATTTGGATGATATGCCTTAGGAGATCTTTCTTCAGAAATCAATTTCATTTTTCTCTCTAGAAATCAAATTCATTTTTTTTAACATGGAAAGTTTTAAGTTTCTTCTTTGTAAAAGTTATATGTACATTTACCCATAACAACAGTTTAGGATTTTTACACTGTCTCTAGTCTGAGTCTTTGATACCTGGAAATAATATTTATATCTTTGTGTTTAGTTTTCTACTTCAAAAATTGCTGGATAATGCCAGTATTCATGAGCCAGCTAAACATCTAGGCATTCACATGGATAGAGTTAGCTAGGGTATATACATGAATCTGTGAATGGTTTCATCTTCAGCTTTACTAATACCACATTTTCAAAAGCAAATGAAGGCCTTCTGAGGTGGCATGTGATTTTTGGATTATTAGTTACTGCTAATTTTATTATAAGTAAAATTTGCAGTCATTTCAGTGGTGTCAAATCATTTATCAAAGTAAATAATCCCCTTATACAAGAAAGTCCCCTCTACCTGTTATATATGAGAAAATATATTTTGCCATGTTTATGAAGTTTGTTCTGTATATATGTAGTTGAAATCTTTCTCCTGTCATTGCCATTTCAGTGGTCCTTACTCAAAGGAAATCAGGAAGCATCTATGATCAGGAAATCACTGTATTTTTAAAAAGCTCCTCTTGTTTCTCTACATAGCAAAGAATGAAGGCTGTCACACATTGGTGGTGTGTTGGCATCATTCTGTTTATTTAGGACAAGGCACAATATCCAGGCTGTGTTCACTGCCTTTCCTTTGTTTTAACGTGCTTTCTTCTAGCACAGTGGATAACCCAGGAGTTCCAGAATGTTTATTAATTATAACTCCATATAAAAGACACAAAAGTTTCATTTTAAAGTGGCTAATTTTTGTATGCTGGATTATAAGTCAGTGATAAAGCACTTGTTTTAATAACCATACCCAAGAGACTATAGAAAGAAAAGTATTATGGAAATACAAAATAGGGCTAAGAAAACAAACAGAAAATAAATAAATAAATAAATAAATAGTGGCTAAAAATACTGGAAAATATAGCCTATGTAGAGAGATCCAAATAGAGTACTGAAAATTTTTATGGGGCTGAAAAAATTCAGAGCTCTATTTCTATTTTTATCTTAAGCTACATTTTTCAGCATTTGTATATATGTGGATAACTCTCTGCAAACGCAGCAAGTATTGTAAAGAATTTTACATTTTAAATTATGCTAAAATGAGTAAAATATATACATTATTTTAAAATAGCCCCAGGTTAATACCCTTGAAATAGAAAAATTAGTAAATCTTGACATGTTGCTCAAATTAATGTCACATTTTTTTCTTTTAATAATTCTAAATTAACACTCAAAGATTTAAAACTTACAGTGTGAGCCTTTAAATAATAGAATGAAAAGCACTTAATGTTAAGACTTGACTTATATGTTTTATAAAAAATAAATTGCAATTCCTGAACCTAGCAAGATAGTCCATTGAACTTGGCTGACATTAAGTGATGTCACCTTGGGCTAGCCATGGAATTACTCGGTCTTTTTCTCCATCTGTAAATAAAATTAGTAATATTTGCCTCACGAAAATGTTTCCTGTGGATGAAAAATCTCATCTATGAAGTAAATTCAGGAAATGTAAGCTATTGAAATGGTTTTTATAATAATATTGGCATCTTCTCAGTTTCTCAGTGAGTTTGTCCAAACTGTGGGGACCAAATGTTTGGAGGAACTATATAATCTTGTTAGAGATTAATATATAGCCATGGGAAAAGCAATTAGAAGCAAAAAGTTGTAACATTTTTGAACAATAACCTTTAAGACACATTAAAAAGTCAGTATAGTCAGATGTTGCTTCAATAGCTGTGAATCCAATAAAACACAGGTTGAAAATATCTTTTAATTCATCTGTCCTGAACACGTACAGTTTGTTGTGCTAATATTCTCTAAGATATATAGCATTTATTACGCTATATGACTTTTATCTCATATTGGGTATTACAAATAATTTAGAGATCTAAGTATACAAGTAACATGCAAATGCTAAGCCATTTTATGAAAGGACTTAAGCATCCTGGGATTTCTACATCCACGGGAGTCCTGGAATCCTTCCCCCAAAGATGCAGGGGACTAGCCAAATGTACACTCTAAAGGATAGTGAATGGAGTTAAACTTTTCTTTTGCTCTCTTACAAGGGGACAGAATGGACAATGAGGTCATTACTTTGTATTCTATGCTAATTCTGCTTGCTCTTCTCTCTCATGCTGCCTGGCTGCAGGTCTCACTCAATTGGGTAAGCCTAGCGCTGTGCTGTGAGGCTGAGTGGGAGGGTCTGCAGTTCCCTCCTTACTCTGTGCTCCCTGCTTTCCAGAGCTTTCTGTTTTCTTCAGGTAGTGCCACAACCAGAAAAACAAGACTATTTCTAGAGCGTTTACATGACCAGGAAGATACCATTGCACAGCACCTAATCCATTGGACTCTATTGAACCGGATGTTTATCTCATTTCTGAATCATTTCCACCAGTTCATTTGCTGAGCAATCTCTCAGGACTAAACCTCTCCTGTCAGCATCATTTCTTCCTACACTGATATGGTCCTTAGAATTGAGAAAAGAAAACAGTGGAAATTGGGAGAGGGTGTTTTTATATAAAATTTGTACAATGTGAAGCTGAGAAACAGAAAATTATTTTCTGTCATGTTTCTCTGAATTTCTTTAACTTTCATGTGTTGATGTCTAATCTTCAACTTTCCATACTTTCTGCAGTTGGTAGGAAGAAAAGTACTTATGTTAAGAAGTTTGCGGCTTTCAACCTTTGACTTAAGCTTTCTTTTCATTGGAATCTTAATATGAACTTAATTTTTCCCCTTAAGATTGTTTATATGTAAGGAGATGAATGGTTGGTAATGCCGAATTTCCTTTAGTGATTCCTTTTAAATGCAGTTTCTATATAATAGCTTTTGGGGAAGGCCGTAAGTATTGCTTGAATGTCTTTCTATACTCTAGTAAAATGCTGCCTGTCCTGATGACCTTGGCAGATAAAGGTATCCTGTTAGGAATCATTAGCTTCTAGGGAGAAGAAGAAGCAGGGACCGTGTTAAAAATGTGCTAGGGGATCAAGCCCCAGCCCAGAACAATGGAACCCAGCTTGCTTCCTTCCTCTGCCCAGCCAATTTCTGACCAGACCTCAACAGAAAGTAACAGGCAATAACAGAGGGGAGATGAGTCAACCACTCTGGGATTAAGAGGATCCATCTCTGAAAATTCTCGGGAATGTTTATATTTGCACCAGTTGTTCTTGACCATTAGCACAGAATGGCTGGAGAAGTCGCTCCTTCCCTGCTGGTATGGGTGAACTGTTAGTCTGGCAGGGCTTCCTAGTGTCCTTTCCTAATCATGTGCAGTCCTCTGAACAGTTTCTGTACAATGGAACCATTAGCTTCTACCTGATTGGCTCTCCTTCCTGGGTAGTGCTCTTTACACACACACACACATACACACACACATACACATACACATACACAAACACACACACAAACACACACACACATGCACACACACACCAATGTGAGAAGGAAGTAAAGACCAGGGTTGGAAGTGGGTGTTGGACTGGAGAATATCACACTGTCCGAGTTTCCTGAAGGGCCCCAGGAATAAATCACCTATTTGTCTTTCATGCCCCCTTAGAAGCTGACTATGGCCCGTTATGCCCAAGGAAAACAAATATCATCTAGGTTGGGTGGGCAGGGAATATTTGAGGTATTGGAAATTGCTGTTTTAGAACTGCAAAGCCAGAGTTTTTCACAAACTTAAATTGTGCTGTCTTCTTTTTTTCCCCCTCCCTTTAAACTGCCTTTGCCCTGAAGGTACTCCATTCGCCACTCCATAAGTATGCCTGCCATGAGGTAATGTGTGTCAAATATTTACATACTATTAATTCAGTATATATGATGCATTGCTTTATTTTTACTTGTGTTCCTCTCTGGTCCCCTTTATGTGAATGAACATAACTGCCTTGTGCTTCCTTCTGACTGCCTTCAGGAGAGGAGGTGAACACTGGCACTGCATGTGGGCTTTTAACCAGACACACAGCCTTAAATCCAGCCTTTCCTGTATGACCAGAGGCAGGCGACTTTACCTATCTCAATCTCCGTTTCCTTATCCATATTATGAGGAATAGACCTACCTTGCATGGATGTTATGAGGGCCCAAACAAGTAACCTGTTTGAAGCATTAACACAGGACCTGGAACATTCCAAAGACATTTGCAAGAATAGAAATACACTTGCTACTTCAGCAGAGCTAAATGCAAACTGGGAGATTAAGAAAGAAAGAAAATAGGAGATTAATTGGGCAACATGCCTGTGAAAGATACCATTAGGATTTTGGGGTAGATATTAAGGTGAAAGTCTACGGAACAGTGAAGTGTCATCACAATCCTGGCTGGATGAACACCTGTGAGGATAGCATTCCCTGGTTCAAGGTTACATGGTTTACTGATACAATATGAGAAAAATCACTGATAGTGATAGAGTCTAGAGGGGTGTGTGTTCATACGGGAGTGGGAAGAGTCAGGCTACAGCTGAGTTCTGTTGGAGGATCAGTGTTTCAGCCACAGCCAACCTATTTCATTGAAATCAGCTGCATTGTATTTAAAGTAAGGCGCTAAAACCAGATTTGCTGTTCTTTCCAAGGTGCTCCCGGGAGCTCTCCAGCAGCTTGGGCTGCTGTCAGTGTGGAACGAGACATGTGACATTAAGCCTCTGGGACTTTCCCACACTTCAGTCACAACTATGCTTCTTCTCTGCTTTGTAGTATACATTGTGGTTTGGATCCATTGTACAGGGAATTCTGTTACTTTAAATGGCTTGAGACCACCAAAACCAAATTCTTCCCACAGTCATTTGCAATACTAAATTGTATAGTTGTGCATGATACAATTAAGTTTGAGTAAACAATCCCTCCCTATTCTCCAGCATGTATTGCAGTACAATTTAATTAGAGGAATGTGTATTCTTTCATGTCTAATGAAGTCTTTTCTGCACTAGGGTTATTTGGGAGAGTGAACCACAACGTTTGGTTTTCTTTACTTGGTGGGAATAAGATAGTTTAGTTCATCTTCAAATGAATCGCTTCCCCCTTCCATAAGTACACCCAAACTGAGTAGTGCAAAAAAGACCCCGAGCTTCTTAACTAATCAAGTTTAAACTGGGTATCTAAACAAAACATGGCCAAAGCTAACATGGCTTCTCTCTGTGAATCAGGAATCCGTCTAATGGCCTACAGGTCAAATGCAATCTCACAAACTTCCTGAAAGTAACAGTTTCTGAAAATTGATTTTACTAATATAACATATACCCATGAACCATTTCCACTTGCCCAGCAGAGGTCTGCATAACTGATGGATATCATGTGGGCAGCCTTGGCCAAATAAAACTTGAAGAGGAAATGAAGTGCCAGTCTCTTATTTTGAGTCACTCAAATGGAATTTCACTAATTTTATCATGAAACAGAGGTATTATGTATGATTAGTCATAGGATCTTGACTAATGTTTGAGTGACACAGAAGGTATAAGCCACGCCTGAATCTCCTGCATCTTCTGAACACACTGTTGTCCATGTTGCAGCCTAAATGAGCATGCAGTCCTATTCATGTGGACTGTCAAAGTCTCAGGGGGCAATCCCCAACAAAGCTAAAGACTTTTGAGAGTGTGTTCTGTATATCAGTTGCCTCTTGATAATCCTAGAGCCCTGGGTCACCTACACCAGACAGTAAAACCCACATTTTATAACCACACCCCCCTTATAAAGATTCCCTGGCCATTCTTCTCATTTTATTGTTTTCTCTACTCAAGAGAATAACAAGTGATTTATCAAATGTGATAAATTTAATTGAATTATTTGACTTGAAAATAATGGCAATCATTATGAAATGTGACATGGTTACAAAATTTAAGGTACATTCTTTAGTTCAGTTTCTATTTCTTTAGTTGGATTTGCTCACGTTTAATGCAGTAATAATTCATTATAATTCCATGTGGCCAAATCTAGAGGGAGTCAAAATGAAGTATCTGCCTTTAAAGCAACAAGGTGGTGGGTAGAGGTTGCAGCACAATGTTTGAGTCACAAATAAAATGCCAATAAGCTTCAGAGGTGCCATCTGCTAAGAGAAAGGGAATGGCCTTTTTGGAAGGAAAAATAATACAGTGGTTAACACGCGGGCGGTAAACAGGTGATGGAGTCACTAAAGTCATGAGCACATTAACCTTAGATACACCACATCATGGAATCTGTCAGTATTATTACTTTTTAAGGCACAGAAAAGAGAAAAGTCATGAACCTTTTTACCCCTTGGCCTATTTCTGTCTTTCACATATTTGCTGAAATTAACAACTTTAAAATTCCAAGTAGAAAATTCATACATGGCATCCAGACAGATACTCTACTGCTTCTTAGAACAAACAAAAATCTGAGTTAGGAAGAGGGCTGTTGTGGTAGAAACAATTAATTAGCAAATGACAATTGAAGCTATCACTCCATTGACTCACTGGAAATGATTTTTGATGCAGTCTGGAATTTTTATAATTGGCTCATTGCCACACACTGTGCAGTCAAGTATGTGACCATTTTACTTAGAAAGAGTTGTGTCAGGTTATGGTTTTGGGACTTCCTCTAGCAGAAATGAAACACCCTTTAGAACATGGTTGGTGTAGGCGGCAAGCTGACAGCCAGCTCTGCTGCAGAAGTGATGCCGACAAACGAGAACAGAAAATCAAACAGCATGGTTGCTAAGACGCTAGGTCTTGGAGCTGACCTTTCTTTTTTTATTTTAGGAATTCTCCTACTTTCAAATCATTTGAGGAGAGGGTTGAGACAACTGTCACAAGCCTCAAGGTACAGATTAAGTGATTTTTGTGTGATTGGGTCCATTTCATCAGGAGAGTTTAGTGCCCTGAAGACAAGGCAGAGCCATCAGCATTCCGTGTAGCTAAGAAAGCAGATATGCATGAGGACAGCCCTTTTCTTCCTTTACAAATCTATGGATAAACTCAGTAGTGAATAGTGTTTCTGCATCCCTAGAGTTCCTTCTATAAAGCAGCCAGAAATGATTTTTCACAAAAGTGAATTGGGTTTTTGCTCACCACTGCATTTCTTAATGCTATCCCTCAAAAAAGTAGGTATGTGAGAGGATTATGGATAG